CGCGGCGGCCATCCGGGCCGAGAAGAGCCGCAGCGGCTCCTCCCGCCAGTCCATCCAGAAGTACGTGAAGAGCCATTACAAGGTGGGCCAGCACGCTGACGCCCAGATCAAGCTCTCCATTCGGCGCCTGCTCGCCGCCGGCATCCTCAAGCAGACCAAAGGGATCGGCGCCTCCGGCTCTTTCCGCCTGGCCAAGACGGACAAGGCGAAGAAGTCCCCGGCCAGGAAGAGGAAGAAGGCGGCCAGGAAATCCACGTCGCCCCGGAAAGCGGCTAGGCCCAGGAAAGCCAAGTCGCCGGCAAAGAAGCCCAAATCTGCCGCCAGCAAAGCTAGGAAGAAGTCAAGGGCCAGCCCAAAGAAAGCCAAGACGACAAAGACTTTTAAGGTCAAGTCGCTGAAGGCGTCCAAGCCCAAGAAGGCAAAGCGGTCAAAACCCAAAGCCAACTCCAGTGCCCGGAAATCACCCAAGAAGAAGTGAGAAGTCTAGAGGCGTTTCGGTACTCTCCCCGTTGGTTTCTGTAAATAGCTTTTGCATTTATTTTTACCCCTTTCTATTGCATTTTATAAAGAATTGATCTATTCCTGTCTGGAAATAGCTAAAACAAGGCAGTTAATGAAAGAAAAAAGGAACACCTTTGGTATGGAGAGTTCCCATTTTTAAGAGTTACTGGTCTGGGGTTTTATTTCGATGTCTCAGAAATTTCTTGCGTGTGTCTGTTGCTTTTTTTAACGCTGGGCTGCTTGTTGTGTGTTGGGAGTGATGGTGACTCCATGGGTCTGTTGAGGCCGTACAGGATTTCAATTCCTGATCCTGCCCCAGCTCCCGGGAGGTTGTGTGTTTGCTGGGGCCAGGCAAAGACTCTGCCTGTGTTGGGGGGGAAGCGGGAACATACGGCTGCGAGAGACACAGCCTTCCCTGGAGGAGGAAAAGGGGCTCCCTGCTCCCTCCTCCCCCACCCTGGCTCCCAACCACGCGGCCGAGGCGAAGTCTGCTGGGCTGCTGGGTGTGAGGTCTGGCTGGTGCTGGAGATAAGCGGCCGGCCGGCCGGGCGATGGGACTGCCCGCCTGCCTGCGGAGCTGTCGTGGTGCAGCTGGGTGGTGGCAGGGACGGGACGGAGGAGGTGGGGCGGGGCCAGGGTCTGTCCACGTTTGCTTTCAAGGAGTTGGAGGTGTCCAGCAAGCGGGAAGGGGTTGATCCCTGGGGAGAAAGGACAAACATGGCTATGAGCGGCTTTCCTCCCTGGGGAGGAACGGGCCCGAGCACAGCAGCGGGCAGCTCTGCAGGCAGGCTGGGGTGGGCAGCCAGGGCAGGGTGAGGCAGGACTGCTGGGCACGGCCCTGCTATCACCTCGGCGGCTCCGGCTTTGTGCCCCGGGGGGGCTGGCACGACTGCAGGGCCTGCCTGGCCCTGCCAGAGCCCCTCCCCAGGCAGGGCTGGGCGGCCCCGACAGCCGGGGCTGGCCTGGAGCCTGTGGGCTGGCCCTACTGCTCAACAGGGTCTGAGCCTCTGGCAGGAGGTGCCTAATCCCCCTTGGCTAGAGATGTCTAAACTCCTTGGATGTCAGGATCCCCAACCACCTGGGCCAGGAGCTCCGAAATCCCAGGGGCTCTGGGTGCCCAGTCCCCTTGGGCTTGCTGTGCCTAAATCTCGTGGGCCCAGGGTCTTCACCCTCCCTGATGGTAGCTCCCAGATCCATTGGCCTGATGATCCTAAATCACTTGGGCAGATGGTGCCTGAGCCTTTTAGCCATTGAGGATCCCAAATTGTGTAGCTCAGGATGCTGAAATCCTTGGCCTGGAGGCACCTTTGGGCTCTTGTCCCTTGGACCAAAGGCTCCCAGAGCACCTAGGCTGAAGACCCTAAACCCCTTTCAAGAGCCTGGTGCCTAATCCTCCTGGACATGAGGGGCCTAAACAGGATTCCCCAGTCAGCTACAGTGGAGGATGGAGATGCCTGATCCAGCCGGACTCTTTGCGTCTAAACGCGGTGGGCCTGTGGGTCACAAACCCCTTGGGCCAAAGGCGCTCAAATTCCTTGGGCTCGGGTACCTAATCTCCTTCAGCTGGTAAGTCCTAAATCTCTCAGACCAAAGGATCCTTGGTCACCTCAGCTGGATGCACCCAAATCCTATAGACCCATGGTTCATTACCCCCTGTGGTGGGCACCCATAAACCACCTAGATGCGAAGATCCAAGTCACCTGCGCAGAGGACCCCAAATCGCTTAGGTGGGGTCACCTAATGCTCCTGGCCTTGTTGATCCTCAAGGTCCGTGATGGCCCGTTGCTCCAAAATCCCTCGGGCCCTATAGTACATGACCCCCCTCCCTACAGTTCCTAAATCCCATGGATGGGGTTCCCCCAAATCCCTCAGACTCCAGGGATCCCAAATCACCTGGTTTTGGGGTGCCTAAACCCTTCGGGACAGAGCCTCCCCTCCCCCCCCAAAAAAAAAGGCCTGAACACCTCCCAGAGAAGGTGCCCGAGTCCCTTCAAGCTGCAGAGCCCGGCGGGGGGGGGG